TGTGACAAACTGTAGATGTTCAGTCTAGATCAGAGTATTCAGTCTAAACTGTCTGGATTAGGGTATTCAATCTAGAATAGGTCCAAAATTCAATCCAAAATTGCTAGATTACGGTATTTAGCTTAGATTAGGGTATTCAGTCTAGATTAGGGTATTCAGTCTGGATTAGAGTAAATGTAGATGTAGATGGAAGCAATTGAACAAACCTATAGGAAACTGTAGATGTAGGATAGAAGCAATAGAAAACAGCAATAGAAGATGTAGAGTAGAAGCAATCGAAAAAAGCAATTGAACAAACTGTAGATGTAGAATAGAAGCAGTTGCTCTATAAATCCGTAAATCGACGGCTTGATGAATCGGTGAAGTATTCGGACATCCTCCATATCCACACTCGTAAGGCTTCTAAATTGCGGCACTTTGTTAAAATCTTCTTTTATTAGCTCACCGCATTTGAATGGGTTAGTTTCGTGTGTTTGCGTTCACTTCTATGATCACTCACGCCTGAAACAATGGATTTTCCTGTATTGAAGTGTATTGTATACCTCTCCACATTCGGTACACTTGAATGGCTTTTCGCCGGTCTGAAATCGTTCGTGGATTTTGAGATACTAGAGGCGATTATATGTGGCCGAACATCCAATAACTTCACATTCTCTTCAGTGTGCTGTCTTACGTGAGTTACCAACAGGTAGTTAGCTTTCCAAGTTCTTTCAGGAAATTCTTTTCCTCATCTTTATTTCTTTATCTTTTACTCCTTTTGTTTGACCTTCTTTTTCCGGCTCCTTCCGGCAAAAAGAAGAGCTTTGTGGAATCTCTCAAAAGTAATTTTGTAAAGAAATGGTCGACCATTTTGATGAAACAAAACGCGTATTTAAAGAAGGTTTTATGGGTGCAAAAAGTTTCTTTAAATTTCGGCGCCGACTCATTCTCCCCAAACCAAGTAATCAAAAGGGGATGCGCTAAAAGTTCCCAAACAGCTATTTATTTTAGAGCCAGTCAGTTTTGCAACATGAGGGCGCGCGTTGTCGTGGATGAGAACGATAATATTTTCTTATATTTTAACCCTTAAAGCTCTTAAAGGCTTGAAATAAGCTTGCAAGCTTTATCACTGTCACACAATAATTGGCAGCCTCTCAAAACCCTTCAAACAGCCTCTCAAAACTTATCATCATATACAACTAATAGCCTACAACTCTATAAATGAGCAGTTTATATTTCAATTTTTTAGTTCGACAATTTTGAATGGATCAAACGGCCCTTATCGAGCAATAGAACGCACGGAAAGTCGGATCTTCGACGTGTTCAACAATACTGTGAATTCTGCCGAGGATTTTGTGAGATGACTTTGGCAGTTTTAACTAGAAAGCTCAAGTTGACATTCTCGTTCTAGGTCTTATTTATTTCTAAGTTTTTTTTGCTACCTCGGATCCCTAGTTTTGACCCTAGACTCCAGGTTCTATGAAATGCAGTTCATAACCAGTTCATGAGTGAAGTTAAAGAAAAATTGAAACGTGATTTCGTCATAATCTCCACAATTTTACAAGCAATTGAAATTCAGTGCTCGGCATTTAGGAGCACTAAATTTGAGTTTTCATTATTTTTTGTGTAACACAACATAACTTAGAATAAATGTTTTGACTCCGCCTATGTAATTAAAATTAGCTTAAAAATCAGATTTAAAACCAGAATGACAATCAACAAACTTTTGCATTTGTAGCTTGAAAGGCTGTCAAGCTTTGATGAAATTAGCTTCCCAACAGATTTTATAAGTTTCTTCTAATTTTAAAATCCATTTATTTCTGTTCTAAAAAGGGAGCTCGTTCCTCACCCTAAAGTTCGATTTAAGCCAATGATGCTAAAATAGACTCTGTGGTATCCAACGGTCTGAAACAGATTTAACTTGTAAGCAAACATAACTCTTCTCTTTCTGCTCTCAAAAAAACAATTGTCTCCCGATTGAATATAATCTTTTGTGAAAATCCGACGTCTTCACCAAATCATAATCAATGCCATTAGGAGATTTAGAAGCGATACTCAACTTTGGCGACTCTGATGGTTTAGTTTCCTTCTGAAAATTAAAATATCAAAAAGAAAATTTGCGCTCCGGTGATTTAATCAGTGTAGAGATTGAATCTAGTCAAAGGCAAAACAATAACTCAAAGTCCTCAAAAGCTTGAATCTGTTTGATTTTTACTTGGATTCTTGGGCAAATATTTCAAATATTTTTATATCGAATTTGGACTAAATCTAATCTCTACACTATGCTATTTAAGTTAAATCAAATCCAAATCATGGTTTTTGGAACATATATGGAATGCTGACAATAAACATGAGCTGCTGTTTTTCTTACTGGTTCTTTTTTGCTTCGACTTTATTTTTGACTTGACTGAGCGATTTTTTAGCAAACGATGGTTTTTTTAGCAAACGATGGTTTTTTAGCAAATGATGGTTTTTGTTTCTTGATTGAGCCATTCACAAAGTTTCCGAGTGACTGGAGTCGCTTTTGCTGAAAATAAAAAAGATATTATGCAAGTGTTAATTAACTGTAGCCAAGGCTGGACGAGTCGCTCATTATTCCCACTTGGTACCAAGTCGGGCCATATTTTGCAACAAGCGGGCCTCCGGAATCTCCCTAAAAGCAATATTTAATGCTTAAAGGACATTTGCCTTGGTAGTGGCCTTTCCGCGACCACAGAAGGTGTCTTGCTCATCAAGACAGTCAGCGCGTAAAACGGCCTCTTGTACTTTGGCTTTTTCTCCTGAATAAAATAAGGTCAAGGCGCTAAAAAGGTTTCAGGTTTAATCATTAACATCTCAAATCTCCTTTCTCCTCTATATTGCTAACAGCTTTTGATTTTTACCGTCTCCCATTCCAAAAGCAATCATCGGTTCTTTCAGTGTCAAGCCTCTAGCTTCGAGACATACTCGCCTTCCGAAATCATCACTGGTGTCAATATCCGTTTCCAGCTAAATAACATATATTAGTGGGGCTGCTTTTAACATTGAACAGTAAGCCCACCTCTAAAAGAGCGACGTCACCATGTTCCCAAACGCGAGCCGTTTGACTTTGAGCTTGTATCTGAATACTCGTTTACTGGCTGCTAACTTGTCATACCTCGACTTTATTGCCTTGCCTGAACCTGTAACTCAAATAGTAGTACCACCGGACGTTTTTTCGGACGCAGCTTGCCGCCGTCATAACCCATTTTGGAGCAATGTAGGATCCGCCGCAATTGGTCTTCAGATTAGTTGTCCTCAAATTTTTTAGGTTTTCCCTTGTTAAAGTCTACTTGATTTTTCAATATTCAAGCAATATTCACTTTTTATTTATTGTTAAAAATCTGAATGAACAAACATCAACAGAGGGTAGACTTAGCAAAAAGCTTACTCATCCACGTGTTCCACACGAACAAAATAGGGGTAGCTGGAATCTCTAGAATCTACTCCTTGATGGATCTTGAGCTTTCTTGAGCCGAAGTTCTAAAGTCGAAAGGATTGTTTGATGATGCTTCAAAAACTCAATGCTCAAAAATGCATTTATCCACGTTGAATATTTTTACTTGAGTAAGTGACCTACCCACGAAATTGGGTCCACACTCGTTTTGCCGCAATCAAACTCTGGAAAACCATTTTATCTAACTACCTTTTATTACCCCTTTTCGGTCCCTGGCTTTCGTTTTTGCTAATTCCAAGTGTTTGCATTAAATCTCGAGCTCTAGGGCAAAATCCGTCAATGCCGTTGGCTTCATGGTAGTAAAAAACATTTTCAAATAAAACTGTGTTATTCGGTCGAGAATCGTCAACAATGCCGGTGGTTGCAAAGTTCCCAAGCTGCCTTAAAATCTTGTTGCTTAAGAGCCTTCAAATTCAATTGTTTTTTGGCTCTATCCAAACAGAAACTCTCACCCGTTTTTGGCAAAAAGAGCAAAACCTTTCGGTAGCCCGGAGATTCCGTTATGATTTTTTCAAATCTCCAAAAAGCCATGGGAGCTCATCAGAATGCGATGCGTCTAAAATTATTTTAATTAATTGTCGCGCCTCTCACATTTTCGACTATTTTAAAAAATGACGCTTTTAAAAACTTAAAAACAAACGCCGATTCTCATCCCAAGATCGGGCCGCCAAAGTCGCGTTATAGGTGTAAACAAACAACGAAGGAGGCACCCTAGCATTCCTTAGCTTTTCGACTTCGCTGACTATGGGAACATGAAAGACAAGGTCGGTCATTGACTAAACTTGAAAAACATAAGCCAAATGAGTCAGTGAGTTACGTTGACCACGACTTCAAACCAAAACCATTGCTCGGCTGTAATCACTGTCTCACTGGTTATTGTTCGCGTCGAATACAGTTTTGGATCGTACTTTTGAGTGTAAAAGTTCTCCAAAGTATCAAGCCGGTCGTCGGAAATCCCCATGTAGGCAGTGATAGTTTTGCGAAATCTAGCGCTAGAGTAATCCGTCCTGCCCATGTATTTCGCAAAAAGATTTTCTAAATGATTTTGAAAAAGTTTTCCAGAAGCGACAGACCAAAAAATGCCCACTCGCCAGTGGTAAGGCCGATGAGAAATTCATGTCCACGGCTTGATCTATCCATGGATTCGTGACCAGATTTGGGAAAGTAGTACCCATCAGCAAACAAAACCCAATTTTTCTCCTGTTTCTGAAAGCAAAAAGCAAAACCTTTTTTGCTGGGGCAAATAAAATTTGGGTGAAGAAAGGTACTAATGAGCATACAAAGCCCACCAGATCAATTTGTTCCAGCGCTTCTAGCGGGGCTTTTGTAAGGCATTTGTAGAGAAGCTCCTCAAATTCCTTGTCGTAGGGGTCATACAGGTTGGCGTTGCAAAGCTGAATGTGAGTTTTTACATAAAAAAACAAAAGATACTTCTTTAGCAGCAATAGCACTTGGAGACGCCGGACTTCCAGTCCCGTTAAAACAAATTTCCAAGACACCTGACATTAGTATTACTCGCTTGAAAAGTCCTAAAGTTCCTTAATTATTTCGGAAAAATCAATGCGCCTTGATCGACGGCAGTCGAGATGGCCAGCGCATGAGCAGAGCATGCCCCAGCAGAATGTCCAATCAATGTTATTTGACTTGGATCCCCTCCAAACCTAAATTTTTCGATAGGGTGACAGTTGATTGATTTTAAGGTCACTCATGAATATTTTTTGAGATGAATTTAATTGCCAAATGCGTGTCATCGAGTCCAAGATTTGGGTGAAACTTAGAGGACGGGAAATGTGGGTAGAAGAAACCTAAACTTGCATTTTCGCACATAAAAGTATTTTTACCCAGGACTGACAGCCGATACTGCACCGTGACCACTATAACATTGTCATGGCTAGATAAATTGCCCAAATTTTCGACGGTAAACTCGTTTCCACTTCCAAATTTATAGGCACCCCCGTGGATATAGACAATAACGGGAAGTAACGAAGAGGCGGAAGGCGGCTAAATTTCTTATGTTAATTTTATGTTCAAACAGACATTGGTCGGTCCAAAAACGTTCAAAAAAAAGGCAATCCTCGCTGGTTTCAAGGCCGGGAAAAACTGTATCAAGAAACTTTTAGCTAGCCAAGCCTAAAAACCAACATTTTGCTTGAGGGCACGCTTTTGCAGGTTTGTCCATGCTGTTTCCAGGCTCATCTTTCCAATCATTTGCCAAACTAGCTCGCTAAAAATATCTTAAAAAAAGCCGAGGCATCTCTTCCTATAACCTGAAATCTTTCTGGTTGATCGGCGTAGCGGACCCCGAGCCAAGCAGAAATCCCGTCTTTTAAAAGACGCCCTTGGGGCAAGCCGGTAGCCATAACTTTCAGTAGCAAAGCGCAGAAAAGAAGACGCATCTAGTCTAAATCTCCTTATGAGAATTCTGTTTGCAATTAAGAAAAAACGAAAAGATGTAGTTTGTCAAATCATGTGAACTTCTTACGAAATCAGGAGAGAAATGAGAGGAATGTTTTGAAAATAATGTTTTGAAGTGGGAGGGGCTTTCTACCCGCATTGATTCTTGAGGCATTAATTCTTTCTGTGCTTGTGGCCGCCGTAAAAAGGACCATTTTAGACTAATGTATTCTATTTTAGGTTCTTTAAAAATTTTAGAAAAATAGATTTTTTCAAAAAATAAATTTAATTGAGCAAGTTGAACTTCCGAGCCGATTCAGTTATTGCAAAACTTTCTAATAATGAATTATTTCGAGCTCCAAGTTTAAAAATAATCGAATACGGCAACAAACAAATTCGAAATTCGAAGCATTTGAAATCTTTAAAGAATCATTAAACCTGTAGCCGGAAATTTTGTTTCATAACATTATTTACAATTTTTCTTGGGACAGATGGATATTACACAGTTTTTCAAGATCATTGGCTCAAAATCAAACTGAAAGACAGCGTCTTAGAACAGAATCAGAATTGTTCAGAAATAGAACAGAAATTTTTAGAACAGAATGGAAGATGGTCGAGAATTCATGCTGGTTTAATGCAGATGCTCAAAATAACTCCTAAAACAGACTACCATATTAATTTTTTTTTGAAAAACTTTGAAGAGGCGTCATCGCTCTCTTTGGATTAGATCTAAAGAAAAAGAGTCGTCTTGAATTAATGTCGTGGCATCATCGTTTCCTAAACATGCTCATAAACGTTCCCAATCAGTGTTAATGGGATCATAAAAAAACGAAAAAGACTAGTTTTTAGATTTGTTTCAACCTGTAGCCGAAATCTCAGGATTTCATTTCAGCTGATTATTTACAACTTTTAGTTTTATTTTACACAGATGGATACTACACTTTTGATTTATTTCGATTATTTTGAGCTTCCCTGCCTCAAAATCGGCAAAAATCTGGAGGACCTAGTGAAGTTTGCTAAGGAGCATCAAGGATGGACTCTTCAGAAATGCAAAGCTCGTTTATTGAGTGATGAAATCAGGTTTTCCTACTTTGTTAATGGAATTGAGTATACGGGACGTCGCGAAAAAACCAAAGTGACAATAAAAATATGGCGGTGGAGACATTCTCGGGTAGCTTTTCTTGATGGAACTCTACCGCTCAAGCGAATCACATTCGCAGCTTCCAAAATTATCCAATAAGCCATCGTTAAATCTGCAAATTTCTGATCTAAGCCTTTTCAGTGTACACTCTTCCGAGTGTTTGCCAGAAATGCTCAAAAGGATACAGGTCGGAAAGTTGGCTTAACTGCTCCATAACGGCAAACTTTTGTGGCGACACTCCAGAAAGGCTTGATGTTTTCTTGAAAAGTTTAAATTTGGTTGATATTTTTTGTTTCTGGTTCCACGCAATGACACTTGCGAACTCCCAAACGCTGTAGCATTACACAGAAACCAAACACCTACTACGGTAAGGCATACACGAATTGCTTGTCAAGGGCAGAAGTCGTCAATGATAATGGAAGATAAAGACTCTATTCAACGGTCCAAGATAAAGATCTTTTTATTTTTTATAGATCTTTTATAGCAACATCGCAAGCTTGAAGAGCTTTTTGACAAACGGCACAGGAAACAACGGTCAAGCAATAAATTTGATTTCGGGCAATTTTGGAGCTCGGAGGGCTAGTTAGTCATCAGTTCGGAACTTGAATAAAAGTCAGCCCCAACTCGCAATCGGGCGCTTATGGAGGCGGAAATCTAGGAAAAGAAGAAAAGAAAGGTGTAAAATGGCAAAGAATAAATTAAAATGAAATGAAAAGGATGCTAAAAATGATAAAAAGAGCGTGTCATCTCAAAAGTATTAATTTTTAGAACGACGTCGCGGCTTGCTGTTCAACAAACGGCAATGGGAATGGTGGTTTCTGCGTGAATGGAGCAGCCTTCTGTAACTGAAAGACGAGAATATATCTTGATTGTTATGGGCAATGTTTGTGTCTTCATTTTAAAGAATTTTTTACTGAAATGAAATTACAAATGAAATTCCGCTAAAAAACATGTAAAAAAACATTTTGAAATATCTAAATGCAGAGCAATCTGCACTCGGACAAGGAAAATGGCCCGTCGATGTCAGAAGCCGGTGGCAACTCGCCGAACCTTGCCGCCAGTCAGCCCCGATATCTTGTGGGATCCATTAGACTTTAGGTATCTAAAGATAGTATTCAATTGTTTTTTGAAGATTTTTGTAAGGCGAAGCATGCAAAGGATCACCGAAGACAATCTAGTTTTAAATTCAATTCACTCAGAATTGAATTTAAATGTTGAATGTTCGACTGGGTTTTACGGTTAAAGGCCTATTATAATAAAGAATCGTTCAACTAATACCTTAGTTCATTATGTTTACCTTGCCAATATCAAACGCATTCTTCTCCTTAAGTCTTTTAGTCTCCTGGAAAACAAATGAGCTTTTCAGCAGTTGACAAAACTTAACGCAAAAACGGAAACTAAGAAAATACATTCACTACTCTTATTACTTGGCATCAAAAACTGCAAATAGCAAGTGACAACGGAAAAGCCTATTACTTCTAAAACAATCTAAAACTATAATTGTTTGTTTTAGGCTCTGTTAGGTTATGGAGATTTAGACGTTCTGATCTTGTAAAAGCAGAACAAATTTGTCGAGAATGTAACCTATTTGTTTTTAGTAACGAGAAATCCAAAAGGATTGCCCAATTTGGGTCAGAAAAAACGCGTTGACTATAAAAACCCTGTACAGTGCCGGTTAACCCAATCGGTTTACAGGAAATGTTCAGTTAAAAGCCTTTTCAGCTGTTAAAGCTCTTTGTCGTTGAAAGTTAAAAGTTGTTGGAAGCCAGCCAGAGCGCTGCGTAGGGCTGAGATCCTCAGAAATTCAATTGAGCGCGCACCGGCTGCCTGATCCCGATCGACCGAAATTGCATTTCAAAGTGTTCCAAAATATTTCTCGAACTCCGATCCTAGGCATGTTTTCAAAACAAATTTTTTTGACTGGGGATCTTCTTTCTGATTCGGCGTCTTTTTTCTTCATTGAGAGACCCCTCTCTTTGGCGCGATAGCGAGCACGTGGCTACTCCAATTAAACCATCACTTGGCCATCAGCGAAGATTTTGCCTCACGGAATGCTCATTTTAACTGAAATTCTAAGGGAAATCGCTGATGTCCTGAAACCGTAGACAGAAAGTAAAGAAAGAAAAGAAAGTAAACAACAGGTCGAACCTTCTCATACCTAAATAAGAAAGATTATTAATCGTTTGACGTAAGGTTATGTTTAATTTGTTTCTAGGATTTTTCTTTTATTGCAAATTTGAACCGTCTACCTTTCTTCGAGTGTGATAAAATCGGGTTTTTAATAGCAAGCTTTCGTCCAAATCAATATAACTAACTTTTAAGCTTTTGAGTGGAAACATAAAGTCTGAATCTTAAGTAAGCGCAGGGTTATTCAGCTCAGTTTGTGTGGTAGAAGTAGTACAATATATAAATACTTGAGATATCTTGAGTGTTCAGAAGCTGAGTAATTAAAGCAAAACAAATGTTTCAAGTTTAATTCACAAAAAAATTCACTTTATATAAAGGATGATCCATGATGATCATGTCATCGTCGTAGAATCCGAACCAGAAACAAAATCGCATTCAAGTCGCTTCAACGGACAAATATTGAACATCAATTTCAGAATCTATGTGTATAAATAAGCCTAGATTTATAAACAAAAATATCAAAATCAAGTCTATAAATAAGTCTAGATTTATAGACATAAATTTCAGAAGGTGTTTATAGACATAAACAAAGGTGATTAAATGCAAATCTTATAGTATTATAATAGACTTGTATGCCATAAAGTGTTTGTTCACCAGAGTTCCGCAAATGGAGTTCTTTTAAACTCATCGAGTCTTTTATCGCCCAATTGAATATGGTAATTTTATTGAAACAATTAGAGTTTACAAAGAATTCCACGCAATTCACCAAATTTTCCAAATTATTATGCGTTAATGAAAGAAGTACATTTTCACCCAATTTTGACAAAAGTTTCTCTCTAATCATATTAAAAGGAAAAATTCATTAAGGAAATTGAATGGAATGCCTTTTGAAGGCAGTAAAATAAAACTGTGTTTTGTGAATTTTGTGTTCCTTAAAATTTTAATTGCCTATTGATTAAAATGGAATATGGCACCATGTAAAGCCAAGATGCAGCGGAACGGTAGACAAACGGACCTTTTACTTTATATATTTCTTTGGCTTGATTTAGTTTGACAAGTATCTGAGGGCCAACTACACCTGTGGAGAATCGGTGAGTGCGTTGAAACTTTTGGATCTATCTTATTAGCCTAGAGCTAGAATATGTTATATAAGAAAAATAAGTTCCTTTTCTTTAAATATATATGGTTGAAATGGTTTTGGTCTTTCTTGTTATTTTCTCTATTTCTTGCTGGTTTTTCAATGTTTTTCGTTTGGCTAGATTTTGGCAAATTAACGCTGCATTGTTTCCTGCATTGTTTCCTCATTTGCTCGATCTGGATATTTTTAAGGAGTCACAGTCAATACTCAACAGAAAACCAAGCTTCAGGGGTTTCTCGAATCATGGTTAACTAATATGGTGTGTTGAGGTCGTACTGAATGATATAGATCCTGATGTGTTGGCGGCTGTTGTAAACTACATGTACACTCTCAATAGCCCACAACTTTTGTGGATGGCGTCTCGGATTGCGCGAGCAGCTGATAGGTATTCATCGTAAATCAATGTAGAATAAACGTCTTTAGGTTTATCGTACCCGGATTGAAGTCCCGATGTGAAGCGTTTCTCATCAACGACCTCGCTGCTGACAAGGTTTCCGAACGCCTGAAGACCGCCTATGAGCTTCAAATGAATGTAAGTATCAAAAATATTTTCTAATGTTTTGGATATTTAGAAGCTTAAGCGCAAAACTGTTGAC